TTGTTCCAAACGTTTCCAATTTTCTAACAATATTTCAACTTTTCCACAGGCTCAAGATGTAGGCATGATGACTGCATATCATAATTACATCGTCACATCATTGGTAAGGATAGTAAAGATATTACTACTTGTTTAATTATGTTCGTTATTTTGAATACGTAATCTGCAATAGTACTTATAATTAAGTGTTAAAGGAATTCCACCCAATCTCAGTTTTTTTTTGTTTTTTTTGTCTTCAGAACCGCATTGGAAGATGTATGACTTCTAACAGTTATAATTCAACCACAGATGTTATCCTTTTTTTTCCGCAGGATTTACACACCATTAAGCTGGATGGATTCCAGCATGGAGCAACGAACATTTCCGGTTTCCGACTGGTGGATCCTGCTCGTCAAAATATCAATATGGTAGTTCGTGACTGGACTTTTGGCGAATATCGTTACGGTCTTCGACCTGGCAAGGACCATTTGTTAAAGGTATCGTGTTATGATGATCAACTATGCATCATTTTCTTACACTTAACCCCCCTCCCTCTCTCATTTTGCCTCGCAGGGCCTGCCGTGGCCTGGTGGTTAGAAGCACTCGACTCGTAATCTGTAGGTCGCGAGATCGAATTCTACCACCGAACATACTCGCCCTCTCAGCCGTGGGACCATTATAACGTGATGGTCACTCCCACTATTCGTTGGTAAAGAGTATTCCAAGAGTTGGTGGTGTTGACCAGCTGCCTTCCCTGTAGTTCATCGCTTCTAAATTAGTGACGGCACGCGCGGGTAGCCCTCGTGTGGCTTTGCGCGAAATTCAACTAACTTAGTTTTTCTCAGCTTGAGATTGGTACTTTGAGAGTTAAAGCCATAATTATTTTTGGACGAGTGTTGTTCCGCAGGAAGTAAGAGTGTCGTTCCGCAGGAAGTAAGGGTGTTATTCCGCAGGAAGTAGGAAGAAAAACCGTGACGATAAAGAATAATTTGGCACGTCTAAATAAAAACGTTTTGTAATATATTTTCTACGACGTTTCGAGCAGGCGCCATTTGTCAGGCAGTAGAGATAATTCCATTGTAAAACTAGAAAAAGTTATTATTTAGTTATCATCTCAATTTATGCGTTATCTTTTATCAATGACATAATTAGTCCCCTCCTCCCTCTAAATACCGCTACAGTTTAAAGCTTTGTTTTATTCGTCTGAGTACATACAAATTATCCTATTGAAACTATTTTATTTACATTAAGCCTAACATCTTTTCTTTTTTTAAATAAGGCAATAAGTTGGTATTCTTGGAATGTATCTTCTGCACAAAACGTTGATAAAGTCCATTAACAATACGTATTTATTCTGCGTGGATCATCTTGTACGGGTATTTTAACGGCGTATAATATAATGAAACAGCCATATATGATGTAACAAAATTCTGTAGGCTTACAGTGTGCATCTGTTTCGGCTTGATAGTTTTTAATTGAAACACACGAACAGCGGATATCTTGCATTACAGAGGGCGCTGCAAAGATTTAAGGGAAAAACATCCAAAAATCGAATTAAATATGAGTATTATCACTGGCGAGATGTATTTGGATACCTCCAACGTAAATTAATATTATAATGTGATTTTTTTTTTTTACAGAAGGGGGACTGTTATATTTTTAGTGTTCGTAATGTAATTTTTGTGTTAAAAATTAGGATAATTCAAACCGTGTTTGTGTCTTGTTTAGGTTTTATATATATAACAACCAATGTATGACAACTTAACAGAATCAATAAGCTTCAGCGACTTCTTGTGAAAAGAAAAAAAAACGATACACTTTGGAAGGGCTCTCAAGAAAATAGTAATTTACATGCATATTATTTAAAGTATATACTATAGTTTCCAGATCTATGCTGTCCGCCACACGAGGAGACTGTTTTCGAGTTACGTGGGGGTCCGCAGAATTGAATCAGTTGAGGACAACTGAGGCTTAATAAAGACGGAATCGTTATTGAATAATCAGAGTGCAACTGTTTGTGTAAATGTAAACCTTTGCTTCTCTGACTGTAGTTATTCACAAACAAAGGAAGTTCTGTGACTAGTTTTTCTGTAACAAGTACGTTGCTTGAAAACTGACTAAGACATATATTGTTGAATTTGACTTGCAGAATACTCACGAACAACTTAATTAAAGGTGATGTGTTATCCTTACATATGCCTCGTAGTGCCGCCAAGTAGTGAGTTTCGTAACTAATCCCCATTTTAGACCGAATGTACATCTGTGGTTCATAACGGAATTTAAACTTCATAAAAGTTGTTTTGGTTTTAATAACGGTTTCGAAAATAATATAAATTTTTTTTTCTATCAAGTAAGGACTTTTTACAAATCTGTAAGAAGAAGAAAACAACTTACTTAGATCAAATTATTATTTTGTTTACCACAATGAATATTTTATTATCATGTTTGTTAACAAAAATACAATCTGAAGAAAAGGGAAGAACATTGATGTCAAACGAATATGCATCCTCATTCATCCTGATTATTGTGTGTGTCTTTTAGTCTCACTACTACGTGTTGTGGCCTTTCTTTTATGTATTGCGTTTTGACATTTTGTGACAAATCTGTACGTGTTGGAGAAAAATGGATGCCATTTTCGGATTCAGCGTACAGGAATTACTGTAGCACTTGTAAAAATTTCATGACAATAAAACCATCGCAGGCCTGTGTTATTAATGTGAAAAAATATTTCTCAGTTAATCATAGTAGTATTTTTGCGTTAGGCTTATTCTCGACTGAGATGCGCTGTAAGATACGAGTATTTCAGGATTAATGTCCATTAATGTATTTATGGCCTTAATATTTAAGTAACATCGTAGTGATTATTCTCAAACAAACAAATAAGATATTTTAAAAAGAAAGTTTCATACCAAAAATGATGCAGTTATTAGTAAACGTTAATCTAGATCTACCTATAAGTGTTAATAGCTTCTTACCAAAAGATAGCTAACTCTGGAACTCAGAACTGTAAAGTAAACCTATAAATCAGTGAAGCCTATTCCATACTGAGAATAATTATGTAAAGTAACAAGTCAATCTACAATAATAAAAGGGTGTGTCTGTGACCGCCTAACTCCAAGAGGAAAGAACTTAGAAAACTGAAATTTTGCACACATGTTAATTTATCCCGAGGGTGTGCACCTGAGTATTATTACTTATTTTATCCACGCGCGCGCATAGGCATATTTTTAATGATACAGGCTAGCGAAAAACCACATAGGAAAGAAGTGGTACCTCATATAACAACTCCTAATATATAGAAAAGCCAGTGTATTTTGGTAACAATGCATTCCAACAATGGCGCTTATGTCATGTTGCTTAGCAATTAAAAATATAGATTATACTTTTATGTTAAAATAGGTTCCGAATACACACACTGGCATCGTCATATAAAATATATCAACCTAATAACCCGAGCGAAGCCGAGTACTTTCGCTAGTACCCAATAAAACTAAAACCTATCGTGATTACAATGTACTGAACCATCAGTTGCTTTTAATAGTACTTTTAGGAATAAGTCCAATAAGTAAGTAACGTACGCTCTGTCCTTTTTTGTTACGTTCGTTAAAAGTATTGGTTAGAATGTTTAATCTATCTATAATTAGAATAAGAATAATGTCAAATCATAAAAAATAGATAATTTTGCATAGTTAGATTCATATATAAATTTAGGGCTAACCTAAATCTCCTACGGTGAGGTATTGGTGGGATTATGGCCGAAAAATCCACCGGTGTTCAGTGGTAAGTTTACGGACTTACAATGTTAAAGTCTGGGGTTCGATCCCCGAGTTAGACAGAGGTTAGAAAGCGATAAAAACAAACAAAAATCGACCAAAAATATTGCTAACACCCGAGAGTACCTGGTTGATAAAATGATGTATTTAATTAACTATTTAGGTACTTAGATTAATCGGAAGTTAATATACCACCAGGCTTAGGAAGTTTAGTTATCAATTTATGCACAAAGCCAACAATGCAAAATCAGTTTTATAAGAGTACTACGTATAGGCCTTCAAAAATGACGGGATAAGTACAACCACCCCAACCCCATGGGTATACCCTAACCTTCACATTTCATAACTAACTAAAATAAATAAATGAGGCAGAAAAGTGCAGTCAAACATCGGTAAATTCCTCTGTGAGCCAATCAGAATTAAGATCATTCATGAAATGAATTCGAAGCGTATTCATAGAATAATTATAGGCAAACAACTGGAAAAACATTTTTTATTTCCTAATTTAGTCTCCGTTGATTAAAGAGGTTTGTTTGTTTTATTATTAAAAACGTTGGTGATATAACAGAAAATAGCTTAAATCACAAACAATTTAAGTTTAAAATTCACTCGATATTTTTACTTTCATGATATATTTTATACACTTGGCTCTACGACAGGTGATCCCACACTACGTCTTTACTTTAGGCTTATTATACCAACACTCACTACACTTATAAGGTTTCACGGTACACACACACAAACACCCTCTCACGGCCAACTTGTAGCCCCGTCACTAAAATCGTAATGGACAAGACGGTAATCGGACTACTTTATCTGGATAAATGCATTTTGGCTTTTACGACTCCTCCTATTTCTAGAAATCAAGCGTGACGTGACGCAGGCTTTTATATAGGTTAGATAACAACAATATTCAAAGTAATATTGCAAATTAGAGCCAATGACGTTCGTTGAATATCTCAAGTGTTTCTTTCATGAATTATATTATTACCGTTCCGGTGATATAAAAGGTGTGGCAAAAGTAACAGTACAGTCGTTTCATTTAGAACATGGTTTACGTTTTAACATCTTACCTGCATTTAGAACATAGTTTAAGTTCTAACATCTTACCTTCATTTAGAACATAGTTTAAGTTCTAACATCTTACCTT